CGTCGTCGCGTTGACCGATGCGTTTGGATCACGCGTGCATATCATCGCGGGACGCCGCGTGTTACATGTAGACACGTGCACGCATTTAAATGTACAAAAGGAAACGGCGGAGGGATCGGAGAAAAGAAGAGGAGGCAGACGAAAGAGAGAGGATGCAATTTGATCCGGCTAAGAGAGGCGAGTCGAATCGTCGAATCTCTCCGGCCACGGTGCAATACGCTCCGTGTATGACGTCACCTCCGAATCTTCCGTCGCGATTCGGACGTACGGACAGACAATCTGGCGTCTAGACGTACCAAAATAAATAACACGGGGCCTTGCCTCGCCATCAAACTGTTTGCAATCGTAATACTCGTCCGTCGGCCTTGCGGGCCCCTCGTTCTGGACAGGGATGAGGAATAGAGCGGAACCGTTTCAGAAGTGGTTCGTGGGCATTTCGTATTAGCCTCGAATCGGCGAGATATCAATTTCGAAAATTCACGAAGATTCTCGAAGATAAGAATAAACTCTTAAAAATTCATTGTCGAGTAAGTATTGCAATGATTTTACGATATTCGTTTTCTTTTATTTTGTTTTCAGGAAAGATTGGAATCTTGCTGCCAGTTTCCGGTTTAATATGCACAATTCTTGCAATTCGTCGCACCGTTCCCCGTCAGATCAACGGAGTAATCGGTTGTGTTGTTCGATCGACGTAAAAAAAAGGTATCGATGATGGTAATCGGACAGCGCGTCAGACAGACGCCAGAGTAGGTTCGATGACTTTCTCCGCTGACCCAAAGTTCGTCAATATTTCGGTCAGTTCACGGATTTTCTCGGATATCTTGGCAAATTGATGCGAAACGGTTCGGTTTAGAGCGTGTAAACCGTGTTGCGCCAATAGACTCGTATCTGGCGAATCGATATCGAATCGAAAGAAGCAACGGAAGGGAAGAGAGAAAAAGAGAGAGCAAGCATGTATATTAGTTCAATCAAAGGTGAGAAGGCGTAGAATTNAAAAAAAAAAAAAAAAAAAGAAAAATGAAAATGGTGCAATTTGCTCGATACATCTCTCTCTCTTCCTCCTTCACCTCGGCGGACGCAGACGATTATCGAGATAAGGAATACCTGGAATCCGACAGGAGAGAGAGATCGGTCCCGCCTGCTCGATCCTCGAGCTTCGTGGAAGCGAAATTTGAATTTCGAATCGTATTGCGCAATCCCACCCACGCATAGGTGCACTCGTTTCGAGGCCTCGCCATCGTACGTGGGATTGTATAAAATCGAAAACAAGAGAGTTGGACCGAACCGGGTGTGGGGGGAGGGGGGCCACCCTTCTTATAATACTCCAGCATTTTTTGTCGGTCGCGGATAAAATATTCATAGCATAATCCGAACGATCTAGCCGATTCACGAATTTCACAAGCACCGTTACATCATACATAATTACAATAAATTAGTGATACCAATGCCAAATGAGATATTTTCTTCGTCTTTTACGTTAAATTTCTCGTTTCTTCTTCTTCTTCTTCTTTTATATTCCTCTCTCTTTCCTCTCCCCTCGCCCCCCTTTTTTTATCACTGACTTCTCTTATCCCGATCGATAAACAAGCGTCAAAACGAGTATCGTGCGCTATTAGATTATAACGTATAAGATGCAGCCTGGTTAGTTGGAGATCGGAGATAAAATAAATTCGCTGTCAGGGCAGAAATTACCCCTTCCCGTCTGTCCAGCGCGTGTCCAGCGCGGAGATTAATTTCCAGTGGCTACCGAGCTTTCGGAAGAAGGTGATCGTTAACCCAGATAAGGGAACATAGGAACTGACGTAGATATGATAAAGGGCTGAATCCGACTCGTCTCATCATCTCGGGAGAAGAGTCGCGTGCTGCGCGCTGGAAGATGGAAGATCGGATTCGTCGCATTCCAAGGAATCTCGTGGGCGAGACGAAGGCAATTTTAATGCGTGCCTTCCATGCGTTTTCCTTCGCCCAGAAATTATCGCTCGCTTCTCCTCCTATCGTCGACGATTCCAGGGAATGAAATTAAAAATGCATTGCAAACGGCATTATATCGGCGATTTCGAGATCGATACACGCGGGAATATCAACGAGTTCGATTATTCGCGGCTTGGCGCTGTGCTCGGGAATCCTCGGGGTTACCCCCTTATATTCCAATTAGAAATGCATTAAAATTGTCACGAGGAGTAATTTAAACTGGATAGCCGTGCATGATAAATCGTTCGTCGAAGCGATCGTTCGAAACTTGTTCCCCGATTGTTCCTCGTGGCTCGCGTTTCGAGGGGTTCCTCCTCCTCTTTTCTCTCTCTCTCTCTCTCTCTCTCTTTTTTTTTTAGATGTTCGCGCAGAATCGCGAGAAACAAGAGAGGAGCGGAAGGAAGAAGAACGCTTTCGAGTATCTTCAATTCTCTTCGGTTCTCGTGTATCCGAATCTCGGTTCTAGGACGGCAGAAAGATGCGATCTGGTTTACTGTTTCCATCGTGGCCAGCAACTACGCATTTCCGCTCGTTGAATTCCTCTGTGGGAATGAACGGTGTTCGCTTGGATCAGATACGATACGTTCGGCTGAACCAGATCCATGTACCAGAATCCGACCAAAT